AGCCTGCCTCGGCTTTCAACATGCCTTCTTCACTAAGCTTATTCATTTCTACTTTTCGATTTAAAGTGAAAGATGTGCTACTTATTCCTTTCACTTGAACACTTAAAAGGCCACTGCTTTGTTATTAATTAGCCTAACTTCAATATTACTGTATCTCAGGGAATAGGGAGATCCAAGGAGAGTGAGAGACACTGGGAATGGCCGGGTCAGTGAATCAGAACACACACATTTGTCAATTAAGTTCACCGTCTTACATGTGCATGGTTTGTGGCACCCCAAAACAATTACAATTGGAACATCAAAGATCACTAATCCCAGATCACCAAAACAGATATGATAATAATGACGAAGTCTGAAATGTTATGAGAATTACCAAAATGTGACAAAGAGACAGTGAATACATGCTGTTGGAAAAACAGCACAAAAAGACTTGCTCAATGCAGGGTTGCCATAAACCTTCAATCTGTAAAAAATGCAATATCTGAGAAGTGCAATAAAGCAAAGGACAATGAAATGAGGTGTGCCTGTATGACAGTCTCTAAGAGGTTTCCAACTTAACAAGGGATTTTCCATGTTTATTTAAACACAGAAACATTTTCTTAAGTAATGCATTTTAATACCTCCCCCAAACTAGTGCTCTGTGGAGTACACTTTAAGGAATACAGTTGAAGTCTAAAACTGTGTGCATTTGATTATTACGAAAAAAATCATTGAATTAATGAGTACAAAAGCATGCCCGAAGCCATTTCCTAATGGGCTCAAAGGGGCATATATATTATTATTAAAGAAGAAACAGTCAAAGGGATAGGGATATATCATATTGCTAAGTCCTTAGGAGCTACAATTATGGTTGTCAAGGATCTCAAACTCAACTCCCTAAATGGAATTTCTCATATTTTCCTTTCAAAGCTGCTCTTAAACTTTTGTTATTACCACCATCCACCAAGTCTTCCACGTCAGTAACCTGACTCTTTAATATTTGTTTCTACTCAAGTTTCAAATACAATTTATTTTTACATGTATCTTCCATCATCTTAACTTCTCATAATACTCCCCACCTCTTTCAAGCCCTTTGTTGGTACCTACATTTACAGCTTTTTAAAGTTGCATTAAGATATAATTTACATGTATAACATCTATACATTTTACTTTTTATTTTATTACTTCGAGACAGGGTCTCACTCTGTTACCTGGGCTGGAGTGCAGTGGCGTGATCTCAGCTCACTGCAACCTATGCCTCCCAGGCTCAAGCAATTCTCTTGCCTCAGCCTCCCGAGTAGCTGGGACTACAGGCATGCACCACCACGCCTGGCTAATTTTTGTATTTTCAGTACAGACAGGGTTTCACCATGTTGGCCAGGTTGGTCTCGAACTCCTGGTCTCATGTGATCCGCCCGCCTTGACCTCCCAAAGTTGGGACTACAGGCGTGAGCCACTGCACCTGGCCAATAACATCTATACATTTTAATTGTACATTTATATTACAATCTCTGATGAGATTGTAATACATTTATATCACTTCTCGGCCTTTTGGCTAAGATCAAGTGAGATTGTAATACATTTACATAGTTGTACATCCATCACCACAATCCAGTTTTAGAACAATAAAACTCATGTGCAGTCAATCTTGCTCCCATACCCAGACCACCACCAATCTTTCTTTTGTTCTTTATACTTTTTGCCTTTCCTAGAAATTTCAAATAAATGAAGTCATACATTACATAGTCTTCTTTATCTAGTTTCTGTCTCTTCACATGTTATTTCTGAGATTTACACACATTAGTGAATGTAGCTGTTTATTCTTTGTTACTGCAGAATAAGCTCATGGTATGGATATGCCACTTTTTATTTATCCATTCACTACTTGATGCATATTATTCTAGTGGGTGTGTAGTGATATAGATATGTGATTTTGTTTCTCCACTGACTGACGATGCTGAGCATTTTATCAGGAACTTACATGCCATTCATTTATCTTCTCTTATAAAAAGTCTATGTCAAACCTACTGCCCGTTTTTTATTAGATTGTTTAGCTTATTTTTGTTTGTTTGTTTGAGATGGAGTCACGCTTTTGTTGCCCAGGCTGGAGTGCAGTGGCACGTTCTTTGCTCACTGCAACCTCCGCCTCCCGGGTTCAAGCAATTCTCCTGCTTCAGCCTCCCTAGTAGCTGGGATTACAGGCGCCCGCCACCATGCCTGGCTAATTTTTGTACTTATAGTAGAGACGAGGTTTTGCCTACCTCAGGTCTGTAATCCCAGCACTTTGGGAGGCCAAGGCTGCCTAACTGGATCACATGAGCCCAGGAGTTCGAGACTAGCCCAGACAACATGGTGAAATCCCATCTTTACAAAAAATACAGAAATTAGCCAGGCATGGTGGCATGTGCCTGTAATCCTGGCTACCAGGGACACTGAGGCATTAGGATCACTGTAGCCCAGGAATTCAAGGCTGCAGTGAGTTAAGACTATGCCACTGCACTTCAGCCTGGGCAACAAAAGCAAGACTTCATCTCTCTAAAAAAAAAAAAAAAAAAAAAAAAGAAAAGAAAAGAAAAGAAAAAAAAAGTTTACCAAACTTTCTAGTAGAAAACAATCTGAAGAAATTGCACTGCAGGTAGCACCACAAGCAAAAGGAGGCAGGGAGTGCACTGGAAGAGATGATGTAAAGATAGAAGATAGAGTCGTCTGAGTTACACACAAGTATCCCTTTGTTAAAACTGTACAGGTAAGGCTGGGTGCAGTGGCTCATGCCTATAATCCCAGCACTTTGGGAGGCCCAGGTGGGTGGATCACCTGAGGTCAGGAGTTCAAGACCAGCCTGGCCAACATGGTAAAACCCCATCTCTACTAAAAATACAAAAAAAAATTAGCCAGATGTGGTGGCGTATGCCTGTAGTCCCAACTACTCGGGAGGCTGAGGCAGGAGAATCGCTTGAACCCGGGAGATGAAGGCTGCAGTGAGCCGAGATCGCACCACTGCACTCCAGTCTGGGCAACAGAGCAAGACTCTGTTTCAAAAAACAAAAACAAAAACTGTACAGGTAAGAAGTGTATATGTGTGTTTGTACATTTTACCTTAAAAAATTAACAAATGGTGAAAGTGTGGAGTGGGTAGAGGTAAAGATGAAACAAGGAAGGTAGATTTTTTACGGTTGTTGAAGCTAGATAATGAGTGCATGGGTGTTTAATATACTGCTGTTTATCCTGCACAAGTAATTCAAACCATATTCCCAGGATGACTGTAATTATGCAAAGTATAAATGCTACATGTATGTATATAAAAACACATATATACACACACATATATACATATATATATACTTTGAAGGGATTCTACCAAAACATTATTGAATAATCATGCGATGACAGGTAATTTTTATTCTCCATCTTTTTAAGCCCTTTTCAGATTCTTCCACACAGTAAGGCAGCACTCTCTGAAAATAACTTGCATACATTTCTTAAAAATCATACCAGTCATATTTATCTACACTCAGAACTTCTGAAATAATCAAGGTCCAAATAACATCTGAAGGTAATTAGGATATGAATACTGCATTTATCAAAAGAATAATAAGAAATATGAAATTCAGGTTTTAAAACAAAAGCAACATTCTCTCCTACACACACATCCGTCCAGACAAACGCTGTCCAACAGAACTTGATGGTGGAAAGGCTCTCTGCCACGGTGGAAAGGCTCTCTGAGTTGAACAGTTGCTGCTAAGCACGTGTGGCTATGGAAGAGCTGAAATGTAGCCACATTTCAGGTGACTTTGAAAAGGGTTCTTCCATTCACTTTAATCTTAATTGCCATACATGGCTAGTGCCTCCCATACTAGACAGCACAACTATAGGGAGAAAAAACAACCAAACAACAAGCACTGGGGTGTGCGGACACGGGGGGAGCAAGACGATTCAAATAAGACAACAAAATCCTGCTCGCAGGAAGTTTATATTGGGAAAGAAGTTTAATTTGGGAAAGAAGATATTAAACAGATGTACAAGCATATTCATGGTTCTGTTGACGATTTTCTTCCTCTATCCAGTCATTCAGTCATTTACTGATATTCTATATCCCCTCATCTCTCCCTGGTAGCTACCAAATCATAACTTTTACAAAGATGCACTGTAAGCTTCCTATTCTTTCTAGGTAAAGAGAATAAGTGAAGAGTACCAACTACACTGAGAATTTTGGATTAAAACCGCATTAGCCACTAAGATACAGCCTAAATCCAATTTAGTTTCTCCTCTGCCTAATTCTTCAGGGGTAATTTCAGTTTCTGATTTGTGCTTTTCAAAGCTAGTTGGTCACCTTCCATCTTTTTTTTTTTTTTTAATCTTTGTTCTTCCTCTTGTGAAAAAGTAAAAAGGAAAAGAAATTGAAGTAACAATTTATCAACAGCATGATTCCTTTAAAGGCATTGCTCCAGCAAGTAAACACACATTCATAATAAATAATCCTCTCTCTAGAAGCACCAATGACATTGAGGTTTTCTTTCTATTTATCCGGATATAAAGCATGTTTCCCTTTTACCTGGGTCACTAGGAAGCTAAAAGGCACACGTGCGCCTCACAAACGACTAGCTGAACCTGGTGTTAATTCCTTCTTGTGTCTTCATTAGTTTCTGATATATATTTTTTTAACTGCTGAGATTCATTCCTACTTTTAATATACTTCTCCAAACGTTTTTCAAGATACATAAATAAAACAGAAATCATAAACACTAACTACTCGAACGGATTTCCCATCGGATTTCAGAATACCTTCTTAGGTCCAAATTAAAAGGGCCAAGATCCTTTTATCCTTTCTGAACTTAAAAAACTTGTTTAAACAAAATGTAAGCAATATCATATCTATACACTGTGACTTTATTATACTTCTCCAAAGACCCATAAGATCTCTAGAACTGAGATCAGCCACATCTTTTATTAGTTATTTCCTATGTAGACTGGATTATCAATATAGTTCTGCTCATTTATTCTGTTTTAAATGATTACCATACCTTGAATTTTCTTGAAAATGTTGTGCTCTTAACTGGAAAGCCACAAACAATGACGATGCTATTGCCAATAACTGGTTCTTCTCGCTCTTGGTTAGCGTGTGCCCTGAGGGAAATCAATCAACCAATCAATCAATCATATATGTTAACATCTGTGCTTCTCTCCTATAGAATTACTAGTCACTCAAACAAGTATTTTATAGGGCATCTATTATGCAGCTCGGATTGTACTAGGCACTGGGGTGTGTGGACGTTGAGGGAACAATACCATTCAAATAAGACAACAAAATCCTGCCCACAGGAAGTTTATATTGGGAAAGAAGTTTAATTTGGGAAAGAAGATATTAAACAGATGCACAGAACAAAAACAATTTAAAAAAAAAATCCACACAGAGATCTCCAGGAAAAGCATAAGCTCCTCACATCTGCTTCTCTCTGTACCTTCCCAGCCCAGCTTCCCTGCTGAGGAAAGTGAGGATAGCGTGCAAGAAGCCCCAGTCCCTGGAGAAAAGGAGAGCGGCTGGTCAAGGACACAGACAAGGCAATGCTTTCTAGTGCGAAGATCCAAAGAATATCACGCCGTGATTCTTCTGCCTCTCTGCATGAATCCCAATCAACCAACCAATCTCTCTCCTCCTCTCACTCATACTATCTTCCTACCACTACACAGCTGGACCTGGAATAGTCGGCAGGCCGCGAAGGCCTGGGGTGAGTGACTGATTGAAGAATTTGCATAATTCTTCAAGAAGGTTGTGAGTCAAGGTAGGATTCTAATACTCCAGGGTCTATAGGTTAAAACGTCCCTTGACAGCTCTGTAACCTCATCACAAATCTAAAACTATTTATTTACCACAGTACTACATACAGACAGTAGAGTATTAAATAGGACAGTATGAGCAACTTGAATGGTGGCTCATCAGCCATAAGGTGCTACTTTTACAGTCAACCCTCCATGGATTCAAACAACTGCAGGTTGAACATATTTGAGGAAAAAAAAATGTATTGTTGTCTGTATTGAATATGTACAGGCTTTTTTTTCTTGTAATTTTTCCCAAAGCAATGCAGTATAACGATGATTTATGTAGCATTTACATTGTATAAGCATTATAAGTAATCTAGAGATGATTTAAAGTACAGGGAGGATGTGTGTTAGGTTATATGTAAATACAACACCGGGGACTTCAGCTTCTGTGGATTTCTGTATCTGAAAGGGTCCTAGAACCAATCACCCACAGATACCAAGAAACAAATGTACGATTCAAAAAAAGAAAAAAAACTAGTTGCCTAAACTTATTTGGAAGAAATGAAGTAATTTAAATATTATGTCTAAAAATCACTCAAAATACAAATAAGACTAAAAACATTCAAAAAAAAATACAAAAAAGATACAAATGCTTTCAATATCTACAGCACAATTTTCCACAGGGAAGTAATCTATCTGCTCCCTGAAGGGCAAGGAGAGCACAGGTAAGCCACCCTCTTTGAGACAAACCTGGACATTACATAAAACATAATACAAATATGGGATCTACCAACTGGTTCTGGGAATTCAATACTAGATCCTCACGATGGCCTAATAAACCATACTCTTATGGGCATTGGAAAGTTCCTCATTTTCCCCAGACACCTAAGCAGTGATGAAAACATCCCATATGATTACATAATTATTCTATATGAGAAGTATTACAAAAATTTGGTCTCAGTCTTGTCAAAACACATAGTTGAGAAGAACAGTTCTCATAGCGTGACCTGCCAACAACTGGAAGTCCCCAGGAGTCCTTCCAAGGTCAAACGATTTTCATACAACTACTAAAATGTATTTACTTTTTTAACTCTAGTTTTCTCAAGAGTATACCGCAGAGGTTCCCAGATCCAAGGGACACATATTGTGTGATGACATCACTGCTCTCATGTCAACACATAATGGATTTATTACTATTACTTTCAGAACAAATGAGTAAATATTTTCAAGTTCCTCAGTTTTAATTTATGATGTGGCAAATATCAATACATATAATCACAAAAGCTCTCTGGAGTGTAAAAAGAACCAGTGCTTCTCAAACTTCACCAAACATCAGAATCACCTGGACTAAAGGTGCTGTGTGTGCTTCACCAGCGGACTGACTGGTAAAAGGTATAAGGGCAAGGGGTAATAATCTGCATTTCTAACAAGCTCCAGGGTGATGCTGATGCTACCAGTCAGATCTCACTTTGAATACAACTGTTCTGGACTGATATTGATCAAACTGTGTAAAGAAACTGTTTAGTAGTTCATGAAGCCAGCTTAATGTGTCATGTTCAGCAAGACAAATTATCAGAGCACTTTAAACACAGTATTTTACATGACAATGTTGTGTGTGTTTATATGCGTGTATACTATGGCAGGATGTAAAATGTATTTCTCATGGTGGTTCACAATCAAAGTCCTTTACAAGTCAGTTCTTTAGACACATATGCACAGTATATACCATCAGCAAGGGAAGAGGCAGTGCATTAGGGGAACCCATTCACCGCAAGATGCTCAATCAGTATTTCATCTGGTCTAACCAACTGTTAGTGCCCGGATCCAAGCAATATCAAGAGCGGTCTCCCAAATAAAATGGACCATCATTCATAACATCTCCCACGCAAACTGATATGATGCACATCAACTTCAAGCATTTTATTGCTATTCCACTTCAAAAGGGGGGTACTCGGTTCCAACAGGCTCTGTATAAGAAGTCTGATCATAACTGACCTATTCTTATAACGATTCTAGCATAATGCTACTCCTGATCACGGGCCAGAGTGGCCTCGATCTCTGCAAGCTCCCCTGCAGCCTGATACTAAGTAAGGCATGTCTTCCCTGGCTCTGACCTTGAGCTCCCTTTGAATGGTCTCCCGTTTGCCCTCTGGGGGCGGTGGACCAGTTTGGTGTTGAGTCAGACACACCGACACTGCATTCTGGGCTAGTAAGCTAAGGCGAATGTACCTCATTCCCTTTTTTGAGTAGCTTCTAATCTGTAAACCCTGCCTGGCTGCCATGAGGGGAGCTGGGAATGCACGCTGCCTGCTAACCTGCTGGAATGTAAGTCCCATGAGGGCAGCTCCTTTTTCTGTTTACTGATGAATCCTACGCACCTGAAACTTGGGGGCACAGTGCATATTTAAAAAGCTCTCCAATTCTTCCCACCCCTTTCAGCGAGTGTGAAAGTAAACCAAGAGTGCTGTAATCCGACACTTGGTTTCCCCTCTCCCCCAAATCTGACGGAGTAGACTGAGAAGATGCTGCTGGGTGCATGTGGAATACAGGTGTTGAGGAGGCAGGACTGAGCGCTCCAGAACCACATGCGGGACACATGTAGCCTCAAGCACTCCTCAGAGGAGCAAGTCACTTGTACTTGTTACAGGTCTAGATGGAGTTCTAAGGCTTTCTTAAACCCAGCTTGGAACGTTCACAGCATTCAAGCTTACAGCCTCCACTGCGCTGTCAACGAGGCTGGGCACAGTGGGCTCTTCAGTGAGGACATGTCTGGAAAAAGCTGCAGCTCTTGGTTTTAAAAGCCTTAGGCTTTTTGACAATTTTACCTCTGTATTCCCAGAGCCTAGAGCACAACCTTTGATCCAACAGGCTCTATAAGTATTTGTGACTGAAAGGAGAAAAACTTCCTCCTCACAACTATTACCTTCTTAAACTTCTGGGGAGATAATTTCAAGTAAAAGTCCCAACCCCTATATGTTTACTATCTCCTCTCTTTGTTCATTAAGCCACTAATTACTGGAGTTCAAATCCATGTAGCAGCACCCACAAGCTTTGTGACATGCCACTATGACCCTGATGCTACTGGCCACCCTCCTTGGCATGATGCAGTTTTCAAGAAGCCTGACCTGCGTATTTCCCAAGTGGTTTTAGGTCTACCATTTATTTTAACAGCTATGCATTGGTTCCCATTAAATGTAGTGCTTTCTGGTTTTTCTGTGTGTGTGTTTGTTTTTGTTTTTTGAGACAGAGTTTTGCTCTTGTTGCCCAGGCTGGAGTGCAGTGGCGCGATCTCGGCTCACCACAACCTTTACCTCCTGGGTTCAAGCGATTCTCCTGCCTCAACCTCCCGAATAGCTGGGATTACATGCACATGCCACCACGCCCGGCTAATTTTGTATTTTTAGTAGAGACAGGGTTTCTCCAGGTTAGTCAGGCTGGTCTCGAATTCCCGACCTCAGGTGATCCACCCCACTTGGCCTCCCAAAGTGCTGGGATTACAGGCATAAGCCACCATGCCTGGCCATAGTGTTGTATTAAATAATGCAGATAGAGGTCCTGATTCTGAGCCAGGCCTGTTTTCTCTTTGTGGGCTATGGCTTGTTGACCATTGGCAGCTTTGTCTGTAGGGTAATGTGGCTGGACTATTTTGTTGGGGAATCTTTAGGTAATCTCACTGGGGGTTAGATTTTTCAAGGATCTCTACTCTCATGTCTGTGCGTACCTGTGTGTCTGCCAGTATCCTGGGAACCAACTGAGGAATGAAGGCTGGGACAGGGAGTGTCACATTTAGTATGTCCATGTTCCCTCAATTCTTTGTCCTCCTGTGCCTGGTACCTGCTGGTTTTTATCCTCTGCAGAGAAGAATCTGAAAGCTTTAACCAGGATGAGGGAGAGAGAGTCGCCTTACTCTGAAGAGTGAAGGAAGTGATATGGAGAAAACTTTACAGAGATTTTAGGCCAGTAGTGCTTCTTTAGGAATTTCCCAGGGTACCTGGAGCTAATAATTATTGAGATGTCTGAAGGGTTCTGCAGTGGTAATGAGTTACTTCTCAGTTTCTCCATTGTCAGCTTAGGATTCAACTTTCTTAGGTTACTAAGTCAGTTAAGAATCATCTTTCAGCTTTTCATTTTACCAAATGCTATTTCCTTTCTTTTTCCTAGTGGGCTGTGTCTTTAAAAAACTCAAGTCAGTAGATTTGGGGATAGGGCAAAAAAATGTGTATATTTTTAAGTTATCGTCTTACCTCAAAACTGGTTAAAGTATTTTCTTTAGCAATTTCCTCAAAAGGAATATATATGGTAAAATAGTTCTGAATCCTTATTTAACTGAAAACAACTTTGTTTATATTGATGACGATATCTTAGCTGGGTATAGTACTCTTGAGTCAAATTCCTTCCTATGTAGCAGACACTATTCTAAGATTTCTAACTTCCAGTTTATAGAGTATGAACATAATCTCACTGTACATTCCTTGCATCTTCTTTCTTTTCTTCTGGAAGCTTTAAAAAAGTATTTTTTTATATGCCTAGTGGAGTTAATTTTTAAATTAATCCTGTCTGAATCTCAGTGACTCTTTCCAAGAGTACCTAACACTTTCTTAAGAACAGTGAGAAAACATTCTCTATTATTTCTTTAAAAATATCCTTCATTCCCATTTTTCTTTTCATGGAACTCCTAGTATGCATTTATGTGTAAAATCTTCTGGATCTTCCCTCCATATCTCTTATCATTTTCCACATGATTTCATTCTCTTTACCTTTTTGCTACATATTTTGAGATACTTCTATTTATTCCTTTGAGTCACTAATTTGGATCTTAGTAGTGATCATCCTACCTTCCACATTGACTGCTGAATTGTTTTATTTAGAAAAATCACAGATTTTTAGTTCATTATGTCTTTCTCCTCTAATTCAGTATTTTTAAGTGTTCTTCCTGTTTTTCAGTAAGCACAGTCATCTGCCTCCTACAACAGCAGCTCTAAAACTGAGCACCACCTGTCCTTAGTGAGTCTTCTAGGTCTTCCTCCCTAGATGAGTAATCCCTTTCCTTTTCCCACCAGGGACTCTGCTCAATATGCAGGCCAAAGAGTCAGGCAGTGGTTTGCTGGTAAATGCTTAACAAACAACTGAGGTGTGTGGGAAGGAGAAAAGCCACAGGGTACAACCAATTTCCTTATAGTAAATACATTCTTCATGGCTGATTTCAAACCACCAACTTCAAAGGGGATTGGCTTATGAAGATGTGCACACATGGCTCTCACAAGTGCAGCCCAGCTCCCATGGAGAGTCCGTGGAGAGGTATTCCAATAGTCTAAATGCTACCTCATCCTTAAAGTCATTCTTGATTCCCTCAAATGGAACTGGGTTTTGGGTGTTTTTTGTTTTGTTTCATTTTGTTTTCGTTTTTTTTGTTTTTGTTTTTGCTCTTCTATCGAGATACTTTGCTTACATCTTTACCAGGCACTTACTTTATCCTGTCCTGTAGTACAGTTGGTACTTTACATGACTATTTCTCTCATGATGTCAGCTCATTAAGAGCAGGTAAAATATACCCATCTTTGATTTTCTTCTACAGCCTACACCAATTATTTGTTGAATTAATGATTTAATTCAGTCCAAATATCATAGTAGTATTTTTAAAAGTGTAGACATACTTGACTAAATTCAACGGAAAAATCAGAAGTATAATTAATTATATACTTTCTGTGTTGAACGAAATTTTTACCAGAAGATCTGTAACTTCTTAAAAGAAAGAGAAAAATCTGACAATTTCTTTTGATGAGGCTCGAGGTTGAAGTATAGGAAAGTATCAGAGAAATAAGCCCAAAATGTTCATTATAGGCCAAATGAAATTATAGTTCTTAAAATATCTTCTTCCTCATATTCCATTTATTTTTCAGAATCAAGGGAAACAGCTTTTCAACATTCACATCTAAAGAAATGACAGGAATAATTTCTCATGTATCCTATTTTTTAATTTTAGAAGTAATCGTTTCAAAGTTTAACTCTAAGAATCTCTAGTAAAACTGTCTTAGTTTACATCCACATAAATGTGGGATAATAAACATATACAATAGAAAATGTTAATGCAGTCATAAAAATAGGTGCTTGCCTATGAATAGTGCCTAGGACAGCTGGACAGATGGGAAGCAGATGGGGAACCCCAAAGGGGCAAAATGACCTGGCCCCAAACATATGGAGAGGATCCTGGATTAACTGTAGTTACCACTTCCTGTGGTCTCTAGGGCACATATATCAAACAGTCAAAGACGATACAGTTTAATATATCAAAGACCTGATCAGGGGGGAAAATGGAGAAAGAAAAAAACTGAAAAAAAAAAAAAAAAAAAAAAAAAAAAAAAAAAACCTGCAATCTGAAGAAGAATGAGAGACAGTAACCATTCAAAGAACAAATGACATGAAAATAACGAGAAAATAAAATAAGAGGGAGATATTAAGAATGGCAAATATAGGAGTGTGTTTCTAAAATATTTAGAGGCAATATAACAAGTAACAAACCCTGATTGAAAACATTTGTGATTTATGAATTTGAATCTCAGCATAACTCAAAGACTACTCAAATAGGAGTTGAATAAGCCTAGGTTCAATTCCTGGCATTAGTATCTTATTGGTCATTTAGCTTTACAGATATCTCAGAGCTCTAGTTTCCTCACATGTAAAATGAAGGCTGCAACTAAGTAATTGCTAAAAGCAATGTATGACAATTGTTAAAATTGTGTTCCTACCTGGTCTAAGCATAAAAAACAAAATTATGGTGTCCAAGCTGTTAATTCCTTACCAAAAAAGAAATGTAATATATTATATGCATCACAGAAAACTGCAATACTTAGGTTTAAGTACATTTCTGAGTTTGAAGGGGATCCCTTGTCTAGAGGATTTGGGATCCCTTGTCTAGAGGATTCTCTATTATTGCTAAAAGTCCAGCAGATAGTAACCAACTCTGATTAGAAAATTTAAATGCCCCATTTTCTTCTTCTCTGGGATACTTTGCCATACATACATATATAGAGACTTATATATAAATGTGTATATGTGTATCTATATAAATACCCATACACGCATACGTTTGTTCTAAAGGTTCTCTGTAGTTTTTCCCTGCTTTCTCCTTCTGCCCACTGTTTCCTGTCTTATCACTATCACTGAATTAGCCAGGCAGACATGAAAACATGGAAGTCCTAAGTCCACTTCAAAACGTACTACAACTTTTAATTAAAATTTTAGGAAGGGCAAGAAACTAAATGTTAGTATCAAAATAGAAAGAACTGGTTATCTGGATACATGTATAAATGATTAAAAATATCCAAAGTAGCAGCCAGGTATGGTGGCTCATGCTTGTAATCCCAACACTTTGGGAGGCTGAGTCGGGCAGATCACAAGGTCAGGAGATCCAGTTCAAGCCTGGCCAACATGATGAAACCCTGTCTCTACTAAAAATACAAAAATTAGCCGGGTATGGTGACACGCGCCTGTAATCCCAACTACTCGGGAGGCTATGGCAGGAGAATCGCTTGAAACAGGAAGGTGGAGTTGCAGTAAGCCAAGATCGTGCCAGTGCACTCCAGCCTGGGCAAAAGAGCAAAACTTCATCTCAAAAAAAAAAAAAAAAAAAAATCCAAAGTAATCCTTTCTCATCAATACCATGGGTAAGATTTCTTTTTTTCATGAATTCAACAAATACTTAGTATCTATTACGTTTTGTGCTAGGGATAAAATGAAAAGCAATGACCTAAGGGGTTCTTAGCCTCATTAAACCAATAAATACTAAAAGAATAATCACGAAAGTATAAAACTACTATCCTGGTTGTATTTTATTTTGTATTTTTAAAATTCAAAAGTTTAGGAAAAACAACCTAATAAATCATTAGTTTTTGTTTTAAGATCCCAAATCAGAGCCATTCTTCATTTGCCTTAATACTAGTGATAAAACTCTATAACACTACAGTTTTAAAAGAATATTCAAATCAGTTATCTCTGTTGAGTCTTATGAAAACTCTGTATTATAAATTCTGAGTGGAAAACTGCTTTATAAATGCATTCAACAACTCGACGACATCAACTTGACCTGAATCTATACATAGCTCCTAACATGAATGTGAGTCATTTTACATTAAAACACTTTAATGGATATAAAGAACACTTGAAATGTGGGACAGACTATCTAACCTTCATACATCACTAGCTCATTAAAAATGTATGTAGAGGCTTTCACCTGAATAACATTTCTATTAAGTCTCATCTAAATCTTGTTTATCTTTCTATATCTTATGTTAACTATATTTTGAATGTTCACTGAAGGGTTTTCTCTATCTCTCACTTGATGAGCAATTTTTCTACTACCTGGAAATGCTCGCTGAGAACTTTGCAGTGTTAATTTCACATTCCACTCATTACTTTATTCAAAACTTCATTTTTCAGAATAAAATCATCATCTTCCTAGATTTTCATTAATAGGACTACAATTTGGTTTTCTGAAATATTCTGTGCTATTTTCATAAACATATCTTTTAACAATCACTTTAGAAGAGTTCCTTATATACTCACCTCAGTAGAAAATACAAATCTGATTTGATTTTCAGAAACCAAAAAGGTAGGCTAATCATCTATCTACATGTTTTGCTTCAAAACACTGGACTCATAGAACATTCCATATGGTTGAATTCTGCCCTCCACAAGACTGCAGATTATCACACTCATGAGTCACCCATAAATACTCAAAATCATGAATGTAAACAGTCTTGCATGTTCTAAAAATGCTAATTAAGTATAATATAAGCCAAAAGGCTTTAATTTCAAAATAGAATGAAATTATGTATTACAATAAAGTATAAAAATAACAACTTTAAAACACTAAAATATTTTTACTGCATACAAACCTTTGAAGCCATCAGGATACACGTCAGAGAGAAATTTGGTGCTGATGTCTCCTTTTACAAAGCGTGAGTTGATTATCACCTCTCGAAGTAACGCAATATTATGTGTAACACCTAAAAGTAAAATGATATCAAACTGAAGAAAAATGAATCAGTGAAAAATTGAATTCTGATAATGTGGGGAAATTTATCATCATTGTTCTATGACCTAGCAGAAACCATTCAAGATTACTTATTTCCTTGACTTCTATTAACAACAAAAAATATCTGAACTTGTGGTATCAATAAAATAGTAAATATAAACTTAAGAAGCTTGGTATTGCCAAGTCAAGTCAACAGGCTGTATTAGGGTGGTGCAAAAGTAATTGTGGTTTGGGGCCATGAATTTTAAATCATCAAAACTAGGCTGAAACACATTTTTATCAGTCAAAATAGGAACCATTACATCAGCTCCTTTTTCTCAATAAGAAATAAGTTTGTTTATTCCTGTAGCGTAAAAATCCATGCTTTGGGATTTGGCGGACTCTTGGAGAGCATTTTTTGCATCCTGCTGGTTGTGGAAGCATTTTCCCTGCAAAAAGTTGTTGAGATGCTTGAAGTGGTGGTCAGTTGGTAAGAGGTCAGGTGAATATGCCGGATGAGGCAAAACTTCATAGCCCAACTCGTTCAAATTTTAAGCACTGGTTGTGGAACGTGCAGTTGGGTGCTGTCATAGAGAAAACATGGGCCCTTTCCATTGACCAACACCAGCTGCAGGCATTGCAGTTTTGGGTGTATCTCATAGATTTGCTGGGCATACTTCTCAGATGTAATGGTTTCACCAGGATTCAGAAAGCTCTAGTGATCAGACCAACAACAGACCACCCAACAGTGACCATGACCTTCTTTTGGTGCAAGTTTGACTTTGGGAAGTGCTTTGGGGCTTCTTCTTGGTCTATTGAGCTGATCATCGCTGGCTGTCATATAAAACCCACTTTTCCTCATATGTCACAATCCAAAAAATGGTTCATTGTTGTGTAGAACAGGAAAAGACTACACTTCAAAATGACGATTTTTAAAATTTTCAGTCAGCTCATGAGGCACCCACTTGTGGAGCTTTTTCATCTTTCCAATTTGCTTCAAATGCCAAATGTAGAATGGTTGACACTAAGTTCTTCAGCAACTTCTCATGTAGTTATAAAAGGATCAGCTTTGACGACTGCTCTCAATTGGTTGCTATCAACTTCCAAAGGCTGGCCACTAAGCTCCTCATCTTCAAGGTTCTCATCTCCTTCACAAAACTTCTTGAACCATCACTGCACTGTATGTTCATTAGCAGTTCCTGGGTCAAATGCGTTGCTGACATGCGAAGTTGTCTCTGCTCTTTACGTCCCATTTTGAACTCAAATAAGAAAATTGCTCAGATTTGCTTTTTGTCTAACATTATTTCCATACTCTAAATATAAAATAAACAGCAAGTAGTAAGTCATTAGCAAAAAAGAAACAAAGTGAGAAATGTACATTAAAATGATGTATAACATAACCACATCTATTTAAGAATGTATTCCAATATCAAACAGCAAATTTCAGCAATGCAAAAACAGCAATTACGTTTGCACCAACCTAATAAATGTCATTTCAATAAATGGTACCAGAACAACCAGCTAACCATTTGGACCAAAAAAAAAAAAAAGGCCAGGCATGGTGGCTCACACTTGTAATCCTAGCACTTTGGGAGGCCGAGGCAAGCAGATCATGAGGTAAGGAGTTCAAGACCAGCCTGGCCAACACAGTGAAACCCCATCTCTACTAAAAATACAAAAATTAGCTGGGCGTGGTAGCAGGTGCCTGTAATCCCAGCTACTTGGGAGGCTGAGGCAGGAGAATCACTTGAACCTGGGAGGTGGAGGTTGCAGTGAGCCGAGATCACACCACTGCACTCCAGCCTCAGCGAAAGAGCTAGACACCATCTCAAAAAAAAAAAAAAAATTAACCTCAACCCTAACACCTAACAACACAGACAAAAAATTAACTCCAAATGAATCACAAACCTAAAACTATTTTAATAACTATAATAGAAAATATGGAGGAAAAATCTGTTACCTTAACGTAGGCAACAGATTCTTAGTACACAAAAACCATGAACTATAAAAATATTGACAAACTGTACATCATCAAACTTAAAGTCTACTCCTCAAAAGAGGCAATTAAGAAAATAAAATGGCAAACTATAGCCTGAGAGAAAATATTCACATTAAATATATTATTATTACTCTATATATATATATTTTTTGAGACAGGTCAGAGTGCAGTGGTGCAATCTTGGCTCACTGAAGCTTCAAACTCCCAGGCTCAGGGATCCTCCTGTCTCAGTCTCCCAACTAGCTGGGACCACAGGTGCATGCCACCATGCCCAGCTAATTTGTTTTGTTTTGTTTTCTTTGAGATGGAGTCTCGCTCTGTTGCCAGGCTAGAGTGCAATGGCACAATCTCTGCTCACTGCAACCTCTGCCTCCCGGGTTCAAGTGATTCTCCTCCCTCAGCCTCCTGAGTAGCTGGGATTACAGGAACACGCCACCATACCCAGCTAATTTTTGTATTTTTACTAGAGATGGGTTTTCACCATGTTGGCCAGGTTGGTCTCTATCTCCTGACCTCGTGATCTGCCCGCCTTGGCCTCCTGAAGTGCTAGGATTACAGGCATGAGCCACGGCACCCGGCCGCCCAGCTAATTTTTATATTTTTTTGTAGAGACACGTTTTTGCTATGTTGCCCAGGCTGGTCTCGAACTCCTGGGCTCAAGTGATCCACCCACCTTGGCCTCCCAAAGTACTAGGATTACAGGCATAAGCCACCAATTCTGGCCCACAATACATATATTGGACAATGGAGTTGTATCTACAAATCTATAAAGAATACTTACAACACAATTATAAGACAAAAAACAAACCAAGTAAAAAAAAAAACACAGTCAACATGTCCACTAAGCATAGGAAAAATTCTTCAACATCATTATTGTTAAAGAAATACAATGAGCTGCCACCAATATGCCAATTTAGATGGCCAAAGTGAAAAGACAGATAATAGCAAGTGCCAGTCAGGATATGGAACAAGGAGAATTGTCACACTGTGGTGGTAATATAAAATGATACACATACTTTGGAACAGTTTGGTAGTTTCTGGAAAAGTTAAACATATACTCACTGATTCAGACAACTCACTCCTGTGTATTAAGTCAAGTTAAATAAAAACATATGTCTATAAAAAGACTTACATACAAAGTTTAATAGCAGCTTTATTTACTATAATCAAAACCTAGAAACAATTAAATCTCCATCAACAGGCAAATGAATTAACAAAAGTGGGTTTGTCCATACAATGGAATTCTATTCCACATATACACAAAAAGAGTCAATAACATATGAAATAACAAGGATGAATCTAAAAATAATTATGCTGAGTTTAAAAAGCAAGACCAAAAATAATGCATAATAATGTATAATTCCATTAATACAAAATTTTAGGACATGCAAACGAGCCTACAGCGACAGAAAGCAGATCATGCGATTACACTGGGAAAGGGGTAGAGGGAGGGTAAATGGCAAAGACCATAAGGAAACTCCTGGAGGTGAAAGAAGCGTTCAACACCATGGCTGTGGTAATGGTTTCACAGGTGGATATGTATGTCAAAACTCATAAAATTGAATACTTTGAATATTAGAAATTTATTATGTCAAGTATACCTCAATAAGTCATTTTTTAAAGATGCATGTAATCTAGTAGACAAAAATTGAGCCTAGTACACAATGACAATTTCAAAGTACAGGTGATGACTGAATAACATGAGCGTTAGGGGTGCCGACCTCCTGCACATACAAAAATCCACACATAACTTTTGATGCCCCCGAAAAAGTAAACACTAATAACATACTGTTGACTGAAATCAATGCTGAAAATATAGTCGATTACACATTTCGTACATTATATATATTAAATACTGTAGTCTTGCAATAAAGCTAATGTTATGAAGCAAATCATAAGAGAAAATATGTTTACTATTCATCAAGTGGAAGTGGATCATCGTAATAGTCTTCCTCCTCCTCTTCATGTTGAGTAGACTGAGGAGAAGGAGGAAGAGGAGAGGCTGGTCTTGCTGTCTCAGGGGTTGCAGAGGCAGGAGAGGTGGAGGAGGTGGAAGGGGAGGTAGGAGAGGCGGCACACTCGGTATAACTTTATGAATATACTTCGTAATTTTTCTCGGCTTTTGCTTTTTCATTTCTCTAAAAATGTTTCTATATGAGTTCAATCCCTTTTCCACTGTTTGTGTTAGTTTTACTGCCAGTATCACAGAAGGGTCTACGTCATAAAATAAGTCAACATCAGTCTTGAGTAATCAGAATCCTTCTGCCACACTCTGATGTGAGCCTGTTTTCTGGCATTGCTTCTTCTATGTCTTCTTCCCCATCCTCTGGCACTGATTAGGAAGCATTTATCTGCATCAAGTCATTTTCTGTTAATTCCTTGGGTGAAGTGTCTATTCACTCTTGGATTCCTCTAAGATCCGTACCTTAAAACCCTTTACCCCCCACTCCACCTTTCACGTCAAATCCACAATCTCTTTCATGATTTCCTTGGTTGCCTCTTTCACAAATCCCGTGAAGTCATGTACAACATCCAAAGTTTTCTCCAGCAAAAATTTTGGGCTTGATAGCTTTCACAGCTTTTTATATGACAACAATACATCTTCAGTGCTGTCATCTTTCCAGGCTTTTTCTCTTCCACGGTGTCGATGATCCTTTCCATATAGCACTGTGAATAATGAGCCTGAAAGGTCCTTACAATACCGAGCTAGAGGCTGAATTAGACTTGTTGGGTTTGGGGAGAAGCAGGCCACTTCAACGCCTTCGATGTTAAACATGTGTTCTGGGTGGCTGGGGCACTGTCCATATCAAAAGAACTTTAGAAGACAGTCTCTTACTGGCAAGGCACTTCCGGACTTTAGGGACAAAGCATCAATGGAATCAATCCATAAAAAGGGTTCTCACGGTCCAGGCCTTCTTGTTGTACAACCAGAAGACTGGCAGCCAGTGCGTATCATTTTCCTTCAAGGCCAGGAGATAAGCAGCTTCACAGAT